AGGGGGTAAAGTTTTTCCCCCTGTCATCAAAGATCGAACAAGGTGCACAAATCGGGATGACAGAACCCACAGCCACTCCGTCTTGGAGGGATTGAGCTTGAGCCTGTTCCTCCCCAATCAGATCCGCACAGCCTCCAGGCATCGGGACATCACGTTGAGGGCATTGTTTGGGTGGTTTGGGGTAGAGATGAAAAGTTGGGTATCATCAGCATATTACTGATACTGTACCCCAAAACCACGGATGATCTCACCCAGTGGTTTCATATATATGTTGAACAGGAGGGGTGAGAGAACCGACCCCTGGGGCACCCAAGTGATGCGCCTCGGGGTTGATCCCTGCCCTCCAGTCAACACAAACTGCGACCGATCCGACAGGTAGGAGGAGAACCACCGTAAAACGGTGCCCCCCACTCCCAACCCCCGAGTCGTCGCAGTAGGATACCATGGTCAATGGTATCGAAAGCCACTGAGAGGTCTAATAGGACCAGGACAGAGGAGCAGCCCCTGTCCCACACCCGCCAGAGATCATCGACCAATGCAACCAATGCCGTCTCCATGCTGTATCTGGGCCTGAAACCTGACTGAAACGGATTCAGGTAGACAGCTTCATCCAGGGACTGAGGAAGCTGACGTGTTCAAAATATTTAAGACATGCCTATAAAATGAACCAACTGAGAGCATTTTTTTTAAGTTTGCATTTTTACAACCTTCATCCATAAATTCTGGGACCGAAAGATAAAACATTTTGCATCTACTTATAGTTCTGTAGCTAGTTTGGATGAAAACAATTCAGAGAGGAAAGGACCTCAAAAATTCGCTGTCAGTGACTTAATCAGTGGAAAGACACTTCCCTCTCTTTCTTTGCTACAGAACAATGGAATGGCTGTTAATGTTAGAACAAAGAAGAAATCATGGCTATTGGTTTCAGTCAAAAAACAGACCTGGTTCTTTTTTTCTATGTTTCCTGTGTCTCCACTGCATTCTTTTTTACTGAGTGACTATCTTTTCTACATAACTGCAAAATAATGTTTTTTGGGTTATACTTTAATTTTAGGTTCTTTCAGTTAGGATTGATGACTTGGAGCAGCTGTCAGAGACCACAACTGTTGATGCTTCATCTATAGGAATTGTGCAGGTAAAGTTCAGATGTAGTCAGATAAGATGCTGTGTTCAATCACATATTTTCATATTGTATTATAAAGAGAAAGCCCATAGCTTGCAAAAAGAATTATCCAAGCATACATGCTTGGGGGCTCTCCGGAGCTTAATCAGGAAACATTTTCAGAATACAGATTTTTATCCTATGGATAGAGATTTTGCAAATTCAGTAGCAAAAACAAAATTTATTGCTTTTAGGTATTTAGGTATGGTGCAAACGCTGAGGACACCTAGGGCGTGCTTCCATACTGGCCTCGATGGCGCTAGCAGGCGGCACTAGCGGGCGGCGAGCGTTTCTTTTCCGAATTGCGAGAGACTAAGATCTGGGCTTGTGTTAGACCTGCACCTCNCTGTCTCAAGTGGGATTTACCTGGAGGGTAAACCTGGCCAAAGGAAGGCTGGAAAAATGGCTTAGCGTGACAGCTGGGCTGCTCTTAAAAGTGGGGTTTATTGCGGAAAAGGGCAAATTGGATCCAGGGACAGATAGGGTTGTGGGTTCTTGAGGGTTGTGTATGTGTGTTTGAGTGGGTGTGTGGTTAGTGACACAGCCTTTCTTTCTTTCTTTCTTTCTTTCTTTCTTTCTTTCTTTCTTCCTGCCTGACTCTCTCTTTCTTAATTTCTCCTTCCTTCCTTCCTTCCTTCCTTCCTTCCTTCCTTCTTCTTTCTTAATTTCTTAATTTCTCCTCCCTCCCTCCCCCATTCATTCATCCATTTTCTTTTTTTCTTAAATTCTTCATTTCTCCTTCCTTCCTTTCCTTTCTTCCATGTTTCCATCCATCCTCCCTCCCTCTTTCTCCCTTCTTTTCTTTTTTCTTTCTTTCTTCCTCCCTTCCTTCCTCCCTGCCTGCACCAGGCTTGGCATTCTGACTTTTTGCTGCAAGCACTTTTATTACATAGCACAAAACAAGATTTTTTTCAAATCTGCAGAGAGGAGAAACTGCGTGTGTGTTGGTGTACGCGCGCCTTAAAACAACTTTGTTTTTAAGTTCCCCCTTTTCATTTAAAACATCTTTATATCTGATAACATTCTCTATATCAATAACATTTGGGTGAATCATTGCCTCCATTGTGGAGAGCCAGACTGGTATTTTCAAATAATGTTGTTCTTTAATTTTCTCCCATACTAATAATATTCTAGCATTCCTAACATAGTGTCTTTAGAAATAGCTATGTATTTTGTTCCTTCCATACCATAAAAAAGCATGCCAACCTATATTTATTTCAAACAATACCAATAAAACTGAAAAAAATATTTTGAAGAATTGAATAAAACAATATTAAAATATATTTGGCAAGGGATAAAAGCAAGATAAGTTTGAAAATGTTGCAAGATTCAAAAAATAGAGGCACATACGTTTAAATATTTTTGGGGACCGCTTATTTTCGGGGAAGGGCTTATTTTAGCACATGCACTCAAAAGCCCGATTGGGCTTATTATTCGGGGAGGTCTTATTTTCAGGGAAACAGGGTAAAACAACATATAGATTTGAAACCAGAGACATTTTTGTTGGGCATTTTACCAGACAAGTATAACAAAGGGAATGTATATTTGATTTTACATATATTGACTGCAGCGAGAATAGTATTTGCACAACAATGGAAAAATGAAGAGATCCAAACAGATGATGATGTGATTAGAAAAATATTAGAATGTGCAGAAACGGATCAGCTAACACTTACAATTAAGGAAAAGAAATAAACTGAATACTTTTTGACTTGGGACTTATTTTATCAATAGCTAGCTGAAAAAAACAGGAGCTAGAAACAGGGAAATATATGGGAGGAACAGTGATATAAGGAACATATGTTAACTTGGTTAAACAAATATTATGATTATTATTAATATTAATAGAATTGATATTAATTGGTTTAGGTTTAGGTTTATTAGATTTATATGCCGCCCTTCTCCCAAGGACTCAGGGCGGTGTACAACATTAAAAGAAACACATAATACAAAAGTTTAAAAAAATTAAATAGAATATCCCAAACAAATTAGAATTGACAATAACATTTTTTTAAAAAAATG